ATTGAAAATTATTTTTAGCGTCTTTTTTATAGAGAACGGTAGTCGGCATATAATTTTTGTTACATCCCATGTCCGCCGCCAAATGCTCCCGAGAGTGACAAGACAGAAAAGAATACATAGATTACTACTATTAAACCAATGACAACTATTATCCAAAGAATAAATTTTACTCACTTCATTTTACTACGATTGCGAATTAACTCGGTAAGCAGAACAATGAGGACAAATATGATGAAGCATTTTCGTTTTTTGACAACCGGAACACTTGATTAAGGGCTGATTAAGAGCCTTTTTGTGAAAATTTCAATTTTTCGGTCCACGACCTTTTTTAGTACGAGTGGAGGATTTTCTCCGAGCGGGAACTGCCATATTAATATAATTTTATTATTTATAATTTATTTTTTTCTTTATTACATTCTTGACCCTTAATTCTTTTAGTCTTTTGGTGGCTTCCTCATCAGTATAATATTTAATTTTGCCCTTTTTCTTTTCCCCTCTTTAATACTTTTTAATATCTCTAATATCCTCCATGTCCTCAATATAACTAATTAATGCTTCTACAATATGATAGTTGTGGGTTTTATATTTCAAATTTCCTTAATAATTTTATCGGCCCTCTTACCTCTTTTTAATTCCTCTTTGCGTCATTCATCGGGGTCTTTTTTATTGTTTCCTCCAATTTCTCACTTTCTGGTATCTCACTCCATGCCAACATATATCTAATTAACGCCTCTTCAAAATGATATTCGCGGGTTTTTTGGTAATCTTTTCTAAATAGATAGGAAAAATCTTTTTCTAACTCTTCTTCTACCTTTTTAGGCAGTTTCAAAGTTATGGTTATTTTAAACATAATTCTAAATAACGCCAAGTAATTTTCGCTGTTTTTTTAATTTTTCTAACCTCTCAATTCTCTCTTCCAAACGAGGGTGAGTGCGAAATAATTCCAAAAGACCCCTTTTTTTCTTTTCAGGATTGAATTTTAATAAAGAAACCGAATTCGGTTCGCCAGTCGCTTTGGTATTTTCGTCCTCGGTTAAGTCAATTCCATCAACTATTCAGGCTCTATTTTCTAATTCCAAAAGTTTCCGTAAAGCCGCCAGCATATCGTCAATTCCTACTATTTCAGCCCCTCTTCGGTCAGCGGCTAATTCCCGTTTGCGGGTGTATCACAAAACAAGCAAAATTCCCATCAGCCGCACAATAGCACAAATTATTTCAAAAAGTATCAATTTGAAAATCATTCCAATAAAAGAACCTGCTCCGCGGTCCTTCCTTCTTTCTTCATCACTTTCTCAGAAAAGCGCAAAAAATAATAAAACACGAAATAGAATATAACAAACATCAAATATTCCTTGCACCACCAAAATCCGAGCGATATCGTAATGGATAAGATGAGATAATTCGTGTCCGACCACCCCTCTAATTTCGGAGAGGCTCATAGTATTAATTAAATTGGTGGAAAAGGCAATCAATGTATTGCCAGCCGGACCAGTAGCGAAAGCATTAATTTCTTGGGAAGGATAGACCCCTACTTCGGGCATTTTCATTTTATAAATGCGGGATATTTCCCGCACCATTCGCACCACCTCTTTTAATTTAGGATTCAAATCTCTGCGGTCATCCATTCTTTTGACATTTTT